GTCAGGATAAAATAATAATACAAAGTTAAAAATACAAATAAGAAGCCATGAAAAAATAATAATTTATAATTTATCAAGGGTTCATGAGGGAGGGAGGGTGGGAGAGGGAGGGGGAAAAATGAGCTGATACCAAGGCCTCAAGTAGAAAGAAAATGTTTTGAAAATGATGATGGCAACAAATGTACAAACATGCGTGACACATGAATGGATGTATGGATTGTGATGAGCTTGATGAGCTCCCAATAAAGTGACCTAAAAAAGTACAAATAAGTAAGAAAGAAAAAAGGATGAGTATTTAAAAGGCCAGGTCATGGAACAAGCAAGAAATACCTGCAGAGTATCCAGTCAGATTAAGCCGCTAGTGGGGATCCGGCGGCAGCTTAATCTGACTAGCTGCTCTGCAGACGGGTTCGGGGCTCCCACTGTCCTCCACAGCCTTCTGCAAATTGGGTGTTCACAATGTAAGCTCTGATAGTTCAGTTTGTCACATTTGGGTGTTGTTATTGTCGTCTTCGGGTCACACAAGCTGGTGTGCTGCTTCCGTGTGGACTTCGCTGACTCCTCGCTTAGATGGCTGTGGTTCAGAGATTCTTGGCACTGAGCATTTAAAAATCCACACGCGAATTCACACACTGCGGGGAGGAAGGTTACCTTTCACAAACCGCCTGTAGGCCTTTTGTGTGAAGCCACACCACTTGGGTGGCCATGTGCTGCTCCCATTGGCTCACTGACTACTGTGCTGGTTCCGGTAGCTCCTCATTTCTTTGAGGCTAGAATTTCCCCTGCTTCTGTTTGGAAATGCGGATCCCGTCTCCGCGTGTCTATCGATCTTTTCCCACAGAGACACACTTCACAGCTCGTGGCTGTGTGTGTATGCCCCATAGGGTTTTCAGTGGCTGATTGCTGGGGAGGAGACAGCCAGGCAATTCTTCCAATGCAGCTCTGGGTGGACACCCACCTTTCCGCTACCAACCAAGTGTGTCTGTCACTGGTGCCACCCAGGGACTCCCATGTCTGGTACACACCGGCCTTTTCTTGGTCAGGACCATGCTTGCTTTGAGTTCAGGAAGTGTCTTGAGCATCCGGTATGTGGCAGATAGTTAACTGCATTAGGAGTTGGACCAGGCACCTGCTGCCTAATGGAGATCTAGGAAGACCTCAAGATAAGATGAGTCACCCGAAATTGACTGCCTCGGTAATGATGCCTGCTTAATGCTTCCATAACCCCAAACTCCACTCACTGCCACTCAGTCGATTCCATCTCGTAGTGACCCGATGGGACAGGGTAGGATTGCCCCTTCTGAGTTTCTGAGACTCACTCCCTAAGGGAGCAGAATGCCTCATCTTTCTCCCTCGGAGCAATGGGTAGGTTTGAACTATTGACCTTGTGGTTAGCAGCCCGATGTGAAACCCACTCACCAGCAGGCTTCTGCTTCCATAACAGGGTGAGTTGATCTTATTTTTGCCTTTGAAACAAACCGAGGTGCTGTATGTGATTTAGTCGTCTTGTGCTTTTGCTATGGATAGGTACTGTCAGGCCTTTCTCTCTATTTTTCGAGGATATTGTCCTAAGTGGCACAAAATACGAAGGTGTACATTTCCTAGGTGAGTGCTTGCTCTCTCATGAGCCGGGATCAATGCCACGGCAGCTGATGATTTGTGATGGCGAAGAACGATGGGCTGCCTGCAGAGCTTTCTCAAGAGGCTCTTTTCCGGTGTGAGCCTGGGCCCCAGTTCCTCTTCAGCAACTCTGGTGCTGGCAGGGAAACTGAGAGACTGATCAGAATGTGTGCTGCTCATTGCTTGCTTCGTGTTGTGGATGCAGAGAGATCCCTTATTAAAGATGTTCCTGTCACTTGATGGCAGCAGTGGCCTGTATTAGGTGTGCTACAGTCACAGCAGTCATGCCCTTGGCTGCCAGCTAAAAGGTTGATAATATGAACCCATAGTGGCCTCTACACAAGTGAAGACCTGGAGATCTGCTTCCATAAAGATTACAGCCAGTGGACGATTGGGCGGAGCAAACATCTGTCTGCAAAGCCCTGAGACCAGAAGAACTAGATGGTGCCCAGCTTTTGCGACCAGTGATCACCTGAGAAGGGCCTAGACAGTGGGAGGGAAAGGTAGACCAGAACTCAAAATCCTCAACCAGATGAGGCTTCGTGGCCAAACAAAGACTGGTGGAGCCCCCAAGACTTTAACCCTCAGTCACCCATCAGGTCTGGAATTGAACTCGCCCCTGGGTTAGAATAATTAACTACTTAAGACCAAAGGGGAGCCCTGTACCCAAGGACAAAATTCAGAGGGTTAGCAGAGAAGAGGACGGGCAACAGGAAACAGCAGTGAGTAAGTGGGAGAAGTGATGGGTACGTGGAAGGGATTGTGATCGAAAAAAGGTGTATGTGCTGTTGACTGGGAAACCGCTGATCTGCTCTATAAACTTTCACCTATTTCACAATGCAAAATTAAAAATGAACCGTTTAGCCCCCAAAACCCTGTGATACAGTTCCATCCGGTACCATCAGATCAGTAGAAATTAGAATGGACTTGGTGGCCGAGGGCGGTGGCAGCAGTGCCGACAGGCAGCTCACAGAGAAGGTGCAGGTGTAACTGGCCTGACCATCTGGGCCATTCGTGCAGGAAAGGGACTGGTGTTGGCACATCCCCAGGCCAGTGGAGGGGACCGAGGCTGAATGAAGGTGGCTGCTTTTTCAGCCGACAGATGACTTGTGGCTCAGGATGTGAGGCACCAGCCCACTTTAATAATTTAAACGCAGGGATACACAACACTTGGAAAATGAGTCCAGGCTCCCAGAACCCTTTTTGTTTGGTTTTCCACCTGCCTTCTTTCTGCTCTGCTCTAGGCGCGACCTTAGAAGAAATAAGCCAGCACTGGGACTGGCTGGAGCAGAACCTCCTGCACACGCTGTCCGTCTTTGACAACAAGGAGGACATCGCGAGCTTCGTAAAAGGGAAAGTCAAGGTAGGCTCCTGGACCGGCCACACTTCTGCCCGTGTCGCCATCTTCCTCACTGCCGCCTCCTGAGATCCCAAACGATGTGCCAGTCGTGGGTTACGCATCGGGCTGCTCCCGGCCAGGTCAGCAGTTCGAATTCACCAGCTACTTCTCAGGAGACAGATGGGGCTTTCTACTCCTATAAAGAGTTAGTCTTGGAAACACACAGGGGCCGTTCCACTCAAGTCCTAGAGGGACGCTCGGCGTCAGCACCAGCTCGACGGCCGTGAGTTTTGGAAGGATGCGCTCTACTATAACTGCACATTTTGGTGACAGAAAGAAAGCCATGGACACGTGGCCTGTCGCCTGTCAAGCTCGGCCCTTTTGCTGGCAGGTGCTGTCACATCTCTCCATACGGTAGCACTGAACCCTGAAGTTGTTCTTGCCTGTAGTCTTGGCAGAAGCAGACGGCCAGGCTTTTCTCCCTTGGTGCCACTGGCTGGGTTCAGACTGCCAGCCTGCCGCTTGGCAGCCGAATGCTTAACCCCTGAGCCATCAGTGCTCCTTCAGCTTGGCGGGATCCGTCTTTATTTCAGGCATATTTTAGCAGAGTCAGTCTACCCAACAAACACACCTGAAGCGAATAAAGGATGTAGGAGATTTACTATCCTTTTTAAATAGATCTTACAGTGCTTACCACAGTCCATCCATCAGTTGTGTCAAGCACATTTGTACAGATGTTGTGCTTCATCACGTGCTAAACATTTGCTTTCTACTTGAACCCCTGGTATTGGACACCATCTGCTGTCTCCTTTCACCCACGTGTCTGTTGCTCACCCCCTCGCTGGAGGAGGGAGGGGTGGTTACTATGTCGATCGTTGCAGTTGTTGGTGTGCTATCCTTTACGGCGCCCTGCGTAATGTTTTGGGCTGCTAATGGCCAGATCAGCAGTTCAAAACCACCAGCTGTTCTAAAGGAGAAAGATGAAGCTTCTATGCCTGTAAAGAGTTTCAGTCTCAGAAACTCGGGTGGCTTACTCTGTCCTGTAGGGTCACCATGAGTTGGAACTGACTTAATGGCTGCGATGAGGGGTTTTATGTTGTCGTTTTTAAAATAGAAATCAAGTGTCCATAGTCCACCACCATAACACCGCTTTTTTTGCTCTCAGGGAAAAAAATCATATAAATATTTATGTTACACACTGCTAACTGCAAGGTTGGCAGTTTAAACTCACCAGCTACTCCAAAGGAGAAAGACGAGGTTACCCATACAGATGTGCTGTCTCCGAAACCTTATAGAGGGAGGCTCTCAGTCAGAATCGACTCGCCGGCCATGGGTTTTGTTACTTGTTTTAGTAAAGGGTATCACGGCAGCATGTTCTGGGTTTTAAAGGAGCAGAATAGAAGCACTGCTTTTTGCCTTAGGTGTTGTCTTAGTCCCCGAGTGCTGCTTTCACAGAAATAACGCACGTGGGTGGCTGGTCGGAGGTTACAAGTGGAACTCCGGGTGCGAGCTCTGGGAAAAGGGTCTGTCGCAGCCCTGGGTAGAAGGCCCTTGTCTTGTCTTCCTCAGCATTCTCAGAGGGCCTCGAGAGGTGCACGTGGCCTCAGTTGCCCCCCTCCCCGCCCCCGTCCTATTTGTGCGCAGAAGTCACGGTGTAAAACACACCCTACTCTCATATGGGCTTCTAATACAAAGAAGAAAACCCAATTCCCAAATAGGGTTACGTTGCCCGCGAACCACTTCCAGCTCCTCGGGACAGAGCGGGGGTTTCCCCGGCTGCAAATCTTCATGGTAGCAGACTGCCACTTGTCTCTCCTGCAGAGCCATTGCTAGGCTCAAGCAACCAGCCTTTTTGGTTGTCAGCTGGGCCGTTTCCCTTCAACTCCACTGCTCTCCCTGTTTCATAGCCTAGCCCAGGATGTGGGGCTTTCCCTCCTAACGGGTGCTGAGTCTTGAACCTCTTCATCACCAGTGAATGGCCATCACATGGATCCCAAAGCTCACGGCGATCTCCAGGGGTGTCGGAGCAGAACTCTCTCCGTAGGGTTTGCAGTGTGTGCCCCTTGGAAGCAAATCACCTGGCCTTTCTTCTGAGGCATTACTGGGTGGATTTAATCCTCTGTCCTTTCAGCAGTGAGCCATGAGCCTCATGTCTGTGTCACTCAGGGACCCTGACCTTTATTTTTTTAATTTAAATTTACAAAATTAAATAAAAAAAAAAGTCTCTGCTTCCAATGGGAATCTGCATGATGGCCATTTGTGGCTGTGTCAGAAGCCACCATAGCCCAGTCTACAAGCTTGGTTTGTTTCCCCTCACTTTCACTTTCCAGAGCTAAACAATGGAAAGAAAAATTCAACCCACTGCTGTCAAGTCAGTTGTAACACATAGCAAACCCATATTCTTTATAGAAGGCTTCTGAGGCTGAAAATCTGTACTGGTGCAGAAAGCCTCATCTTTCTCCCGCAGAGCCACTGATAGATTCGAACTGTTGACCTTTCAGCTAACAACCCAAAATGCCACCCACTATGCCACAGGGCTCTTAGAGCTAAGAAGAGCTAATTCATTGTGGGATGGCTCCTGCCTACCATTACTGCACATTTTGGGCCAAAGATTCTATTTAAACATCCATAATCTTCTCGTTTTATTTTCCTGTGAATGTTTTGAAGAGCAGAATGGACTCCAGACTTTCTGGAATCATGGAGGCTGGATGAACCCCTGAATCTATTGTCCCGAAGTCATCTTTAAACCTTAAACTAGAGCTATCCCCTGAAGTCTTTTAAAAGCAAACAATCGTGGTCCAATCAAGAACGTCCGCCTGGAGCCCTGGGCTCTCTTAAGATCTATTGTTGTGGCTTCCAATATTGGCAACAGCAACTCAAGCAATTAGCAAACTCGGGAGGCAGTGAGTTTCGGTTAATGGGGGAGGAACAACTCAGACAAGGAGACTGGAAAAAGTTGCACAGCGTGAAGGGTGTAAGCGGCACCACCAAACTGAACGTGTGGTAATCAGTGACCCGGTACGTGCTGCGCTGTGTCCATTCTGAAAAACGACTAACATCATACCAGTCCTTTTATCAAAACCCATTATGCTAGATATGCCTTTCAAGATCATTGCTTTGCCGAATTTTAATGCTTAGTATTGTTCAATACTTTATTGTGTGCATTTGAAAAAAATCAAAGCACAACAGAGGAAATGATAGTCACTTTGTCATTTCACCAGTCCTGAGATTTATTCCAGAATACTTTGAAATGTCATTCTTATTGTGATGGGGGAGTGTCCGGGTTTAATTTATAAAATGGTGGGATGGATAGGCCTCTCCTAAGGAAAGAGCCTCAGGATCCGTTCTAAGGAACCCAATCCTGCATGAAACGTACGGACAAAAATAGGAAGAAGCGTGTTTGTTACCGACCATTACGGAGAAGATAGCTACAGCTGCATCTTTCTAATTTGGGTGTAACATAAGTAAGGCCTTAGGAGTTTTTACGCATCATGAAGGACTGGTTAATTTGCCATTGTTACGGTGACCCACGGGTGTGGAGTGAAACCACACCCTATGGTACGGTTCTTCAAGTTGAGTTTTTTGAAGCAGATCCCTTCCAAGATGCTAGTGAAGGGTTTGGACTGCAGGCTTTGGGCCAGTAGTATGGTGCTTAACCATTTGCACCCCCTCGGCGTTTCCATAGGGGAGATCGCAAGTAGAAGTCCTCAGGGAGAAGTGTGCTGTGAGCATAGAACCTACTCACTGCCCTTGAGTCACTCCAACTCTGGGCAACCCCACAGGGCAGGGCCACCCTGGTCTGAGGCTTCTGAGGCTGTACAGGATCCTTACAGGAGAAGACGGCCTCATTTTCTCCCTCGGTGTCACCAGTGGATCTGAACTGCTGACCTCGAGTGAGCCACCCAACCCTTAACCCACTATGCGACTAGCGTTCACAAGCACAGAGAGGTATGGAATCAGAATCCTGATCTTGTCAACTCTCACCCCGTAGGAACAGTCCAAAAGCTCAATTCTAGGCCCTGTTGTACCTCTTTCCCACATTTAGAAAGGGCTCTTATGATCTCCTATTGGAAAAGAGAGTAGCCTTCATGCTCTAATGGGTTATGCCTTGGGAGGACGCCACCTGCCACTCCTTGGGAGATAGATGAGGCTTTCTACTCCCGTAAATCAGGGGTCCTCAAACTTTTTAAACGGGGCCAGTTCACTGTCCCTCAGACCCATTGGAGGGCCGGACTATAGTTTTAAAAAAAAACTATGAACAAATTCCTATGCACACTGCACATATCTTATTTTGAAGTAAAAACAAAACAGGGCAAAAACACTCGGCGGGCCGGATAAATGTCCTCGGCGGGCAGTAGTTTGAGGACCCCAGCCGTAAAGATTTAGTCTCAGAAACTCACAAGAACAGTTCTGCTCTGCCCTGTAGGGTCGCTGTGAGTCAGAATGGACTCACTGGCAACTATGGATTCAGATTTTCTTTCCCTTCTTATGATTCCCTAGCCCTGGAATGTTTGGAGGTATTCATGAACCTTGGACAATGGTAATCTTTTTCTACGTTAGAAGGAAGTAGCCCGTACTTCGTCTTACACACTTTGGCCATCTTGTCAAGAGAGACCGGTCCCTGGAGCAGGACATCATGTTTCGTAAAGTAGAGGGGCAGTGTGAGAGAGGAAGGTCTTTGATGAGGTGGATTGGCACAAAGGCTGCCTCAGTGGGCTCACATACAGGACCAATTGTGAGGATGGTGCAGGACCGGGCAGTGTTTTTGTTCTGTTGTGCACAAGGTTGCTATGGGACAGAACTGACTCGATGGCACCCAACAACAACATTCACAGTAGAATTGACATGTGCTGGGTGGTGTTGTGTCATGCAGTTGTTGGCTTTATACCAGAATTTTGAACCTAATTAGTGTGGTTTTTTTTTTTTAAAGAATGACTTACAGCTCAGACTTGGGTAACAGTTCTTCAGAGGAGATGCAATGAGTTCACATGCCCAAGCTAGTCACAAATACATTTTATCCCTGAAGGGGAAGAGCAGGGAAGTGCTAAAAACTGACCTGAGAAAGAGGGCTCAACTAGGTAAAAGGGCTCTGTAGAGACCCATTCATTAAGCCTTAAACAGGACAAAGAAAAAAATCTAAGGAAATCCTCTGAGTTTGGGAAGCTATCTGCTCGCACCCTGCTGTACCCAGAGGCTGCTGGGCTCTGGAATCACAGTCCATGGTCAGTGTGTGATGGGGAAACAGAGGACATTGTCTCGAGAGCCGGACTCACTCCCTCACTGAGTTCCCTCCAGTGGACCCTCTATGAGTTCAGGGTAGAACTGCCCCTGTGGGTTTCTAAGACTGGAACTCTCTAGGGGAGTAGAAAGTCCTGTATTTATCCCTTGGGGCCCCTGGTGGTTTCAAACTGCTGACCCTGCAATTAGCAGCCCAATGAGTAACCCCTATGTGTCATCATTGTACCACCGGTGGGGGGGGGGCAGGGGGTGCTCCTTCAAGATCTTGGTTGGTGGCAGGCTGTTTTGTCACTGCTGTGGGCAGGACTACAGAAGCAGGAAAAGGCCCAGGGTTGAGCTCAGTACATAGTTTCAGGTTAAAGGCCGGGATTGTTCTGGTGTGGTTTTAATTACGGGGCTCTGTAGTGGTTGGGATATGATTTATGATAATGTGACCCTGAGTTCTAGTCTCAGGCCAGTCCCAGGACCTCAGCCTGTAACTTCAATCAGATCACATGGGCTTGAGTGGCTAATTTTGATCCATCATTAAGGATATGCATGGGCAAGGTTCCTGAGGGCAAACTGCCTTTCTCTGGGCTTGCCAGGATTTGTCTCAGCAGAACAGCCTTGTTGCTACCATGGCCTGCAAGCACTTGGGGAAATAACATCTCAAATAGGGTCTAGGCTTAGGTGGAATTAGGACTTCCGAGGTAGACCCCACGGCCTTCCATCAAACAAATGCTGTAGCACTTAAGCTTTTCACACAGGAGTAGAAGCTACCCACAGCCTCCTGGCTTTCACTGGGCCCGTGAAGACTTTTTCTTGTGGATTTACTGACCCTGGCAGTTTTTCTTCACTGAAGTACTGCTGCCGTGCTTCTGGGTGGATAAGCTGGATGAGCGAACCTCTCCACCCGTGATGGGTCACTTTTTAAAGCAGCAAAGGCTCTTCAGGGTGCCCGTGCTTGTCTGTCTTTTCACCCTCCCGACCCTTCCAGCCTCCCCCCTCCCGTCTGCCCTTCTCAGTGAACAAAGGGGGCTGTATTGGTCTCCAGTGCTGCGATAGTCACAGAAATAGCAGGAGTGAGGGGTTTTGTTGTGAGGGGCTGTCGAGCCAGTCCCCACCCATAGCGACCCTGTGCCCAATAGAATGAAGCACCACCCACGTGGGTGGCCCTGCGCCATCCTCACAAGTGTTCCCATGCCCAACCCATCGTCGCAGCCATGGTGTCAGTCCGTCTCCTTGAGGGCCTGCCTTTTTCTTCCTTCCTTCTTGCTGCTTCCTCCCCTCTACAGTGTGGGGTCCCTTCTCCAGGGTCTGGTCTCTGCCGATACCATGTCTGACCACTAAGTACGCAGAATTTTTTTTATTTTTATTTTTTGGCTCAGCTCAGGAAGCTAGAAGTTCGAACTCGAGACTCCAGCCATACGGGACTGCGCTCATTGTCTTTGTTGGGGAAGGTCCTTGTCCCTTTCAGTTTCTGTTCCTTGGTTGTTGTTGTTTTTAACAGTTTTAGTAGTATATAATTCACACATTATAGAATTCAATAGTTCAATCCATCAGGAAGAGTTGTTCAATTATCACCACAATCCGTTTTAGAACCTTTTCTTCATTCTTGTACTCATAGATACTAGCTGCCCATTTCCCCCCAACTTCCCCTGCCCCCAAGGAACCATGAATCTAGTTCCTGTCTATAGCCTCACCTCTCCTGGAGTTCACATGCAGAAGGACATTTTAAAAATCTCACAAGAATAACCAAGTAAAACAGATAAAAACCTCAATAGATAACAGAAAATATTATAAACTAGAACAAATTTAAATGAATCATAAAGGAGATCAAATAATAGGGTGCTAAATTTTAACCTAATTCCATCCGCAACAATCCACCTTCCAAAGCATTCTGCATGTTAGCAAGGCTAGTCACATCCCTGGAATTTATTTAAACATTCATACAAAATTTTAAAAACACCAAACTTTTCATTGTAAATTGAGTGAAGGTTTGCAGAGCAGAGCAGTTTTCCATCCAACAATTCATATACTTTTTTTTAAAACGTTTTATTAGGGCTCATACAATTCTTATCACAATCCATACATACATCAATAGTGTAAAGCACATTTGTACATTCATTGTCCTCATCATTCTCAAAACATTTGTTCCTTGGTTTCTTGATGGTCTTGGCATCCGTCTTGGCCTGTTCAGGCTTGTTTTATGCCCAATCTGTGCTTTTTATATCCTCCGCATGATCAGGCTTACATCACACCCTACATTGCTTTGAATCAATAACATAACAAAGAAAACTTTGTCTCCAATGGGATTACCTCCAAAGGCATACAAACTCATCGCCGTGGAATGAATCCTGACTTACCACGTCCCCCTTGGACAGAGTAGAACTGCCTCGTAGGATTTTCTAGGGTGTAATCTGTAGGCAGCCTGGTGGCAGACTGGTGATGTGTTGGCGTGCCAGCCTCAAGGCCAGCAGTTTGAATACACCAGTGTTCCACAGGAGAAAGATGGGTCTTTCCACTCCCGGCAACAGTTAGTCTCAGCAATCCACAAGGGCAGTTCTGCCCTGACCTTTGTAGGGGTCGATGAGTCTAAATTGACTCTGTGGCAATGAGGGGATTTGGGGGGGTTTTCTGGGCAGGGGGTGACGGCGGAGTAACCTTTAGGGAAGCAGATTGCTGTATCTTTCTCCCCTGGCATAGCCGGTGGGGTCTCAGCTGCTGGTTGGAGGCGGCACCGCCCTCCTTAACAGAGGCTGTGCTCTCTGTCCCCAGGCGCTGATTGCGGAGGAGACCAGCAGCAAGCTGGCGGAGCAGGAAGAGGAGCCCGAGAAGTTCCGAGACGCCTTGGTAAAGTTCGAGGCCAGGTTTAACTTCCCGGAGGCAGAGAAGCTGATCACCTACTACTCCTGCTGCTGTTGGAAGGGCAGGGTGCCCCGCCAAGGCTGGCTCTATCTCAGCATCAACCACCTCTGCTTCTACTCCTTCTTCCTGGGCAAGGAACGTGAGTGGAGGCTCGGCGAGGTCCCGGGGCTGCTCTTGTCCCTCATCGTGCTTCGTGCCCAGAAAGGGCATCAGCGGGGAAAGTGAAACAGGCAAAGGTTTGAAGAGTTGGGGTGACAACAGAGGGCACTGAATGGATTGTGTGGACAATTCACACTCACTCACTCACTCACTCACTCAACTAAGTCTAGAAAGCACCTGCTTGCCATTGAGCTGATACTGGACTCAGGGCGACGCTTGTATGCAGAATAGAACCAGCCGCCCCAGAGGGTTTCCAAGGCTGTGACTTTTTGGAAGTAGATCAGCAGACCTGGCTTTCCAGGGGGCTCTGGGGGGATTTGAACCATCAACGTTCAGTGAGTACTTTACCGTTTGTACCACCCAGGGACTCCACTGCTACTATGAGGGGGTTTGGTTTGTGAGAATTTGGGGTGTTTTTGCTTTTTCATCCTGTTTCTGTGTGGCTCGCTTCACATAGCTGTGAATGTGACTATCTAAACTAAAGATTTTGCTACTGAGGCAGAGTTAGGCTGCTAATCGCAAGGAGAGTTCAAAACCACCAGCCGCTCCATAGCAGAAAGATGAGGCTTTCTATGCCCGTAAAGAGTTAGTCTTGAAAACCTGCAGGGGCAGTTCTACCCTGTCTTAGAGGGTCTTTATGAGCCAGAATTCACACAATGCAGCAAGTGTGGGGTTTTTTTGGTTTTCGGGCTTTGAAAACAGTGTCAGGACTGATGGCCAAGTGTTTCTAAAGGAAGAGAACAGAGTCCTCCTCTGAACATGAGGGACAATGAGGGACCGTTTTTAAAATCCCAGTCCTGCAGGTCAGTACTGCCCCTTGGAAGAGTGGGCAGATAAGCATTTGCTTCTAGGAGAATTCTTCACTCGTTTGCATTGGAGGGAAGAGGATGGGCTTCACCCCATCTCAGTTCTACTCCATCCCACCAGGTTGCTCACGCTGAGTCTGCATAGGCTCAGTGGCAGTGGATTTGCTTTCTGGTGCATGTGGGACTTGGGTGAGTCCCTTAAACCCATGTGTCCAGTCGTGCAGATACTAAGCAGTGGGATTCCAAGGTGTGAAAATCACTGCCATTAAGTCAATTCCAACTCATAGCGACCCTATAGAATAAAATAGAGTTGCCTCGTGGGCATCTGAGACTGCAGTCGTCATGGGGATGGAAACCTTCATCTTTCTCCCAAGGAGCAGCTGGTGGTTTCGAACTGTTGACCTTGTTGTTAGGAACCCAATGCATAACCCACAACACTACGGGGCTCCCGAGAGTAGCGGTGGTAGTAGTAATACTACCACCTGCCTAACGTCAAAGGCGTGTGTTCATTATCTTGTGCTGTTGTGACGGAAATACCACAAGTGGGTGGTTTTCACAAACACAGATTTGTCATCTGCCAGTGTAGGAGGCTGGAGCTCACAGTGCCGGCTTGAGGGAAAGGTTTTTTCTCTGGGTTGGCTCTGGGGGAAGGTCCGTGCCACCCTCGATACCGTGGGCCTGACCTCCTTGGAGAGCTAGCTCCGTGTGTCGCGGCCTCAAGCTTCCCCGGGTCTGGGAGGTCCTTGGTGCAAGGACCCTGGGTCCAAAGGACTCGTTCTACTCCCAAATCTTTTTTGTTGGCACCAAAGTTTCTGCTTCTGTTTTCCCCTATTTAAATGGGCTCCGTAGTGCAGAATTCTTTAAAAGTAGATGCCTAATGAATGAATGTTGATGGGGTAGCCAGTGTTGCCTAAATTCAAGGCGGCCACCACAGCAGATGCTACACTTTGTCCTGCATGATGCTCTGGAGAGTACAAGTGTTTACTTGCCAAGGGGTTGCCGAGTAGGTTTTTCCGAAGGGTGCGCTAGGTGGAGCAGATACTTGTGTGTGGACAAAAGACTTTGTGCCCACAACTAGGAGTGGAAGACCCTTTCAAACCCAATGCAGAAATCTGGCCGCTCAGCATGATCAATGCACCGAAAACGTGATTGTGAAATAGGCAGAAAGAAATGATAGCAATTGAAAATAATTATATCCTACTTGATTTGATCAGTAAAATTATCACCCCTCCCTCACAACAATTCTCAATCATCACTAAGCCTAGTTTTATTAAGAGGATAACACTTGGGAAAAAATGAATGAGTCTTAACATTCTGATAATAATCACTCTGTTAAATTGTTAGTGTGTTTCTTTAGGAAAACCAGTCAGTCTAATAAAGCTTTATGTGCTTCTCGCCCCCCCGCCCCCACCAGCCCCTGTACTCTGCTTTAGCAAACACTACCTACTTCTGTCTGAGAAACACCCTGAGAATAGCACACTTGTTCTTCAAATGGGCTGCTGTCGGTACTGTAGGACTTTTTAAAGTGTTCACAGAAACAACTTGCACTCTGTCCTCTTAGACTGGGAACTGCTGCTTGACGCAGGGTAAAACAGTAAGCCCGTTTCTCTAAGCAAGATCATGAAACATCTCTTTTGCCCTCATTTTTTTTCTTTCACCCCATTTCTTCTCACGTCATGAGTACTGCCTTTGAAACCAGAATGTAGGAGAGTTGACAAACTGTTCTCTGATTCTTTAAACTTCAATATTCCCGAGACAGTCTACCCGTTGTGAACTTGGCATTCCTTGTGAAAGGGCAGCGGCCTGTCACTGGGCAGCGTTTTACTGAGATCTGTAGGAAAATCATCTGCAAGGGGGTTGTGTTCCCAACAGAGGGCTCCCAAGCGACTTGGGCTTCCCTGCCCGGCTCTGGTTGACACGCACGCACCCTGGTTTGCGTCTGGCTGTGAGACGGCCTTGAGCAGTTGTCTGCGGAGACCCTGGAGCTGGGCTCATATGCGTGTCTTCCTCTCTCCCAGTCAAACTGATCATCCCGTGGGCCGATATCTACAAGGTAGAGAGGACGTCCAACGTCTTTCTGACGGACACCATCCGGATCACCACGCGGAACAAGGAGCGCGACTTCTCCATGTTCCTCAGCCTCGACGAGGTGTTCAAGATCATGGAGCAGCTGGCGGACGTGACGCTCCGGAGGCTGCTGGACAATGAGCTCTTCGACCTTGACCCCGATCTGCAGGAGCCCAGCCAGATCACCAAGCGGTAAGAGCGTCTGTGCTGCGGTGCACCCCACCCTTGCGCGGCACCCTGTGCCTGGCCTTTGTCTCAGTGTGCTTTTGTTAGCCACCATGGCGATAGGTGTAAGTTTTCCTTGTGGCATAATCCAGCCTGTCCTATACTGGTAACCTTAACAGAGATAAAATGGTTTATATAAAACCAACTCAACCAAACCCGGGCCCATTGAGTTGATGCCCCTCATGGACACCCAGCTGCTTATAGGGTTTTTCAAGGCTGTCATTTGGGGGGGTGGGGGGGCATACTCTCCCATGTGTATAGCAGCACAGTTCACAATAGCAAGAAACTGGAAGCAGCCCAAATGCCCAACAGTGGGAGAACGGATAGAGAAACTATGGCAGGCACACACAGAATGGAATACTCTGCCTCCCCCCAAAACAGTGATGGAAGTCTGAAACGCTACCTGCCATGGGGCGGGGGGTGGGGGTGGGGTTGGGGGGTGGGGCTGTTGGACACCAGGATGCTGAGCGGAGTTTCAAGCGGTCATTTTTAACGAAGCGGACTGCGTTCTCCCAGGAGAGATCAGGCTTGACCAGCCCCCTTTTCTTGTTCACAGCTGAACCCTTAGCCGCTGTGCAAACAGGTCTCTTTCCCCTTCCAACAGTGGACTTCTCATTTCTGGATCCATTTCTCCTTTTGTCAGATTGTATTTCAAAACCGGTGATTTTAAAAGATACCTGAAGAAATGTCGTAAGGATAGGCTCGTGGTGGAAATCAGTGTTCAGTGCTGTGTGTCTCTTTCAGTAGTTGGCCCGGCTCCTGGAAACCCCATACCTAACCGAACGGAACACTGCCTGCTCCAGTACCATCCCCACCATTGGCTTGTGATCCCTTGAGTTGGGGTGTGTGTGGGGGGGAGTCCGTGGGTTGGCTTTTGGAAGTAGATCACCAGGTTTTGGCCCTAGCTCATTTTCGTCTGGACAGTCCATTGGAACCTGTTTGGCTTTATAGCGACTCATAAGCCTCCACTCAGATGGGTGGTGGCTGCCTACAAGGGGTACGGGCCAGGAATTGCACATGTGGTTCTCCCACCTGTAAGGCCCTGAATCACACTGAATTGCCACTGGTGGTTTGTTAGTGAACATTAAGAAATTTTGCATTTTCATAAATGACTTCGTAGAAGTAACTTTCAGGGTGAATGGAACGTATTTTGGTGCCAACTGGTCATTACAGGCACGCTGTGGTGAGGTAAAGTTGCTTATTATGTCTTTCCTAGTTATCTTCTTTGTGACTCCCACCAAGTAACGAGGCAGGAGCGTGCAAATAAAGTTGTGGAAGCTCTAGTGAGGGAATTAGTCAGCTTTGCCATTCTGCTGGGTACAAAAATGAGCCATCTCAAACAACAAATCCAGATAATCCCAGAGTGAGGTGCGTCTGAGACACCTGCGTGGAGAGGCAGAGAGTCGCAGGCTTTCTGGCCCCCAGAGCAAGCAATGCTGAGCATCTTCAAGAAGGAGCTGCAAGCAGACTGATGGAGGTTTGTCATGCTAAAGCAGCTTGGAGGGAGGGTAGAGGCCAAAGGGCCGAGGACCACAGGCAGATGGGCCTGCCAGCATGTCTGAGAAGAAGCATTGTGGACAAACGAACTGTATCCTTCACATTTCTGATCCTTACTTGTAATCTTTTAACTCCCCCAGAAGCCCCACAATGTGACTTTTGTCCGAGAGTTCTGTGTGCTCATGAACTGGATGATTGAACTCGGCAGAAAAGTAGAATGCCATGGGAAGGATGGTTGGTGTCAGAATAGGGTAAAGGAAGTTGGCAGTTACGGGCATGTCTGACATCTGCCTTGTGGGGTTCCTCCGTGGCCTGCTGTGGATTTGGATTCTCATTCCCCTTTGAGTGGTCAGAGAAGGTCGGATGCAGCCCTTGTGCCATGTCCTCACACGCTTTATTAATAGTGCGTCAATATTCTTTATTGTTTATTTGCTCGGAATTGATACTAGTCACGGAAACGGGTGAGGTAGCTGCTTGCATTGCTTGTTACTTTGAGGAGGGAAAGTTCAGTTGAATTGTTGGAAGACAGACCGGCGTGTTTCTGCGTTGACTGTGATCCTGGCTCTGCAGTGCATAGCTGGGTGACTGCATAGTTGACACAAAGGCAAACAGTGACAAAGGTGACCTCGGACCAACGGCCTAGCAGTAATCTTCTGTCCTGGTTGGACGTTTTTTAGATGTGGCCACAGAATCACACATTGCCGTTTCCATATTTGCTAGTCTTTTGTTTTTAATATTGACTCATCTTAACATTCGCATCTGCCTTCTTTTGGATAGCATTATAGGGAAGGTATTTAAGATAAGCATGCTAAGACATAGGTATTACACTTATGAGATGATTTTGCACGGGGAGGAAGAGATTCTGTGCATGGAGATGAACAGAGCATGTCTTTGGTCGTCTGGGTTTAGTTTCCTATCTCTGGGCTGGATGACCTGCCATTAAGTTCCTTAACCCTTATGGTGCTCAGTAACTGCAGAGACAGCTGCCCCCCATCTCCCCTTCTTAGCTGTGGTTTCACAGTGGGTTAAGTGGTCAGCAGTGAGAACCCACCAACCATTCTGTAAAGATGACCGTCTTTTGGGCAGGTCCTCCTCTAGGGCCGCGGTGAGTTGGAATGGACTAGATGGTAACACGTTTTTATTAATCCTTAAACTGCGCGCTGTCTTCTCCAAACTTCTGGAGAAATGCATGCCTTTCTAATTAAAACCAAACCAAACTCACTGTTACTGAATCAGTTTTGACTCGTGGTGACCCTGTAGGACAAGGTAGAACTGCCTCTGTGGGTTTCTGAGACTGCAACTCCTTACAGGAGCAGAAAGCCCCATCTCAGAGCGGCAATTGGTGGTCCCTTAATGGTAGAATTCTCATGTATTTAAAATGAGTTCAAGACTCTCCCTTCTGTGTGCATAAATTGTAAACTGATCACAAGGAAGGCAAAGATCAAACACAAACGCTCCGGATTTGGTGGGTGAGAAGGGGAGAGGGCATTCCAGAGCATTTCACATCACTTTGTAACATCTTTGAGACTTGAGTCGGACATTTTTCTCACGAGGTGTCACTCCCTTATGAAAGGAGACATTGTAGGGCACCATCTATTGGTCTTCTGCCTTCCAGCCCCAGATGCACAGTGTCATTCTCAGCCCCAGGTTTTCAGTGTGGTTTCTGGCTCCATCGGAGGGGCACCTGCTTACCAACGGGAAATAATCCAGGATCCTGAGCGTTCATGTTTTCTTGGTCCTCCGTGAAAAAGACAAAGGTTTTTGAGTCCGGATGATACAACTCTCAGTTGTTAAAGAGTGCATATAAACCACTCATGAAAACTTGTAATTACTTAACTGTGTGTGTGTGTGTGTGTGTGGCTGTGTGCAAGAGAGAGAGAGAACTTGTGCATGCACCGTGGTGGTTAAACATTGAGCAGCTAAAAATGCAGTCAGCTGTTTGAGCCCACCAGCCACTCTGGGGAGAAAGACGACAGGTGTCTGTTCTTGTAGAGCTGGACGCGGGAGCTTTCCCTTCATTGTCCACAGACTAAAGCCGTCACATAGTCTCGGAAGCCCTGTGAGTCAGTTCTCTGTCCTCCAAGGCTGCGCTGCATCAGAAGCAACGAATGACTGGGTTTGCTTTGGGGTTGGCGTGTCTTAGCCTGAGTTCTCAGGGAAGCCAAAGCAGTGAAGCATAGACATGCGTATATTTTGAAAAATTATATCGAGAATGGCTCACACACTGACAGAATTGGGCAAGTTCCAAGTCTGGGCAAATTCCAAATCCAGATGTCAGACTGGAGGCTTCTCCAGACTTAATTTTACTTAAGATCATCCAACAATGCTTGCCAACAACATAATTGATAGAGAACAGCCAGCAGGTCAGGTCAGATTCAGAAGAGGACATGGAACAAGGGATATCATTGCCGATATCAGATAGCTCTTGGCTTAAAGATGTTTACTTGCATCTCATTGACTATGCAAAGGCATTCGACTGTGTGAACTGTAATAAACTGTGGGTAACCTTGAGAAGAATAAGCATTTCAAAATACTTCATTGTGCTCATTCAACTTGTACATGGATTAAGAGACAGGTGTGCAAACAGAACAAGAAAATAGTGCATGGTTTAAAATTGGGAAAGGTGTGTTTCAGGGTTATAGTCTCTCCCATACTTGTTCAATCTAAGTGCTGAGCAAATCATCAGAGAAGCTAGATTATATGAAGAAGAGTGTGACATCAGGACTGGAGAAAGATGTACTAACAACCTGTGGTGGACCGATGACACAATGCTGTGAAAGTGAGGAGGACTCGAAGCACCTTCTGATGAAGCTCAAGGATTGTAGCCCGTCCTCAGTGAGGATGACAGCTCAATGTAAAGAAGACCAAACTCCTCACAACTGGACCAGTAGGTAACATCGTGACCAATGGAGAAAAGATTGAAGTTGTCAAGGAGTGTTGCCTTACTTGGATCCACAATGAATGCTCATAGAGGCAGCAGTCACGGGATCAAAAGAGGCATTGCATTAGGTAAATCTGCTGTGCCAAGGCTTTTTAGAGCAGTCATTCTCAACCCGTGAGTCGTGACCCCTTTGAGCGTCGAACGCCCCTTCACAGAGATCGCCTGATTCATTGCAGTAGCAAAATGACGGTTATGAAGTAGCAGTGAAAATAATTTTATGGTTGGGTGGGGGGGTCACAACATCAGGAACTGTATGCATTAAAGGGTTGCGGCATTCGGAAGGTTGAGAACCACTGTTCTAGAGTATTAAAGAGCAAAGATGTTACTTTGAGGAGTAAAGTGTACCTGCCCCAAGCCATGGTATTCTCCATTGCATCATATGCATGAGAAAGTTGGACACTGAAGAAGGAAGACCATAGAAGAATCAAAGCATTTGAATGGTGGTTCTGGTGAACAGTATTGAAAGTCCCATGGACTGCTAGAAGGACAAACTGATCTGTATTGGAAGAAGCAAGGCCAGAGGGCTCCT